AAGGAGACATTTGCCCTCAGGGCAGACACATTAAACTGATTGTGGGATGACTCCAAGAAGACCACAAGAGCTTGAGTCATCCTACAACTTCAGTCACATGCCATTTTCACAGGAATACCCTGTAAGGCAGGGAATGCAGAGAGGAAAAACTAACCACCTTCTCTCTCTCCTGGGCAGACGGCATTGCAGCCACTTAGCAGAACGCAAGATATTACAGCTCGGTGGAAAAGAATACTCCTGGGTAAAAAAATGAGTGTCAGTGTACGTATGGTTCATTCATGCGGCAGATGACTTGCCATACAAGAGTGTCTGTCATAGACACCTATTTAAGAATGGGATAAGCTGTGCTCTAGTGATAGGTCTAACTTTTTATTAGCAAGATGATGGATAACCTTTGACTGAATGCTTAAGTCCAAATATCTAAGGCTAGATGAGAGTAAGAAGTTAAAACCGTTTACATTTTTGAGGATATATATAACAACATATAAAGACAAATATGTATATTACAGCTATAATTATTCAGCCTATGGTCAAGCTCTGTTTCAAAACTATACATAATTACATATGTTTTATTAGTAGGGGTATTTCTTCTGGTCAAAAGAAACCCCACGACCTCAGACCAGAATCTGCTAGACATCTCTCCTGCATGCCCACACTTTCAAATGCATTTAAAAGTGACACTGCAGCCATAAGGACTCAAAACATAAAGATACTACAAAACTTTTGAATGGTCAGTCTGAAAAGAGCTTTCTAGGATGGCATATTTTCCAGAAAAGTGCTACAAAACGTGGGGTAGTAAGCAGGGAGAAGCTTACTTGGTAACCTACATTATTATCTGAGTTAATTCTTTCTCTTTTTTCCACATTCTTCATATCACAGGCAAGGGTGGAAATGGGCTACAAATATAAGTTAATGTGAATTCCGGAATAGCAGCATATCAATACATCACAAAGAAGACCTACCTAATATTATATTATAACTTAAGTTGACAAATATTTTAAGACATGCTTAAACAGAAAATCAGATTATTGAGTAAAGTGAGGTTATATCTAGAAGTACCTTTTTTTTTTCTTTGAGTGAGGGTGAGAGAGAGCAAATGAAAGCTGTAACTGAAGACTTTTTACATAATGCACACATTTCTTTTTAATTTTATTAAAGAAAAAGATTATAAAAGGGTATATCTGAGAAAAAGGTATTATCTCTTTCCTGTGAGACGAAGTCTGACACAAGGAATGGATGTCATATTCATAAGGCAACCAAGCAGAAAAGCTTAAAAAGCATACCTTTGATAAGGTACCTTTACGTACCTTTATGGTCTGTAAAACCATAATCAGGCTATAACATTTATTAGAAGACAGCAAATGCATACAATTAGTGTTATATATATATATATTATATTAGGAGAGGGAAAGAAGGAAAAATATTTAAAAAGCTGCAATCTACCTTTTGGTGGTTCTTTCAACCCTTTTTCTTCCATCCCCATATGGGGGGAATTTTTATTCTTCTGTCTGTTCTCTTTCTACAAGCCTGGTTTAAAAACTGATTGCATTTTTCTCCCCTGATCTCAGCATGCTTTGGATCAGACCTTACTCTAACAGACACAGGCTAATTTGTGCAAGACATTTATATTATCTTCTTCCTGCTGCAGTCATGTGCAGAAGTTATATTTCACTTGTTTGATGGCTTCAGTTAATGAAGAATAGCCTCAGTTCATTTTAACTTATGCCCAAATATACCAGCTGGATGTAATATTGTGACTGAGCTTTTATTATAAAGATGTCATGATAAAGATGACCAACAGTTTTTGGAGAGAAATTATCAGACTTCCAGATCCCATGTTATCCGCTTATTGTTCCATGGCTGAAAATGTCAACAACAAAAAACATGTTCTCATTTTCTAACAGAACTCTATGAGATACAGAGCAAACATTTGCAAGATAATTCAATCAATTTAAAAACATTAGTATCTTCCAAGTTTGTACCACACAGCCTTTTAAAATCCAGTCTGACAAACTTTTATAACTTACTGGGTGATAATTAATCCTCTAATTTTGTAAGAAAAACTTAAAAAAATTAAGCCAAAGGGACAAAATCTAAGGTAATGTGGAAAGTGGGAACGAAGGAGAGCGCAAGGATCTTAAAACCTGAATTAGAGCTGTTTAAACAGGGATTAGGAGCTTCGGTGCTTGCTAACATTAACATAAATTTCCCATTGCTTTGGAGCAATCAGGCCCAGATGCTTGAAGCTTTCTCACAATAATTCAGCTATCTGCAAAATACTGAATGGGAAACTAATACATCAGAAATATGATGGGAAATAAAATGAACTCTTCAGGGTTCTTAACTTGCTTGTGTCTTACAACCATTATGGATATTATTCTTAGCAAATAGACACAGATAATTAAATCTCTGACTCCCTTGCCAGGTAATGGGTAAAATGGCACCCGCAATTTGTTGTAAGAAGTAGAAATAAAACTAAAACTATACAACTCTGAGGATGCTAAAGCACGTATTTGACATATCAGTTTGCCTACAAAGAATGTATAGATATTCCTATTGAATACAAACTCTTTTCTCCTGTGAAAAATAATTAATATACGACAAACTAGTAGAGGGCCTGATAATGTTTGCTTGGTATTAAAAGTGCTGGATGACACTCCAATGCAAGGGTTTAACTGAGTATTTCTGTTAATAATTGTTGCAACAAATGCTCCTATTAGTAGTAGATACAGTCAACCAAAAATAAAATGAAATCTACTCTTTTAAAAATAGTCTGCTGCAAGATTTTACAAAGAGAAGTGATCCTTAGCAATTAGAAAATGAGTTTCTTATATAAAGAATATACATTATAAAGACAAGACATGGCTCTCACACCTGTTAAAGTTATCTGAAAGGCCTTATAATTTTGTATCAAAAAGTCAAAGAACAGTAAGAGACTAATGCAGGAAATTACTGTATGCATGTTATTAGGCAAAAAAAAAAAAAAGGAACATTCACTTTGAAACAGCAAAGTCTTTTATTTTGAGTGTTTATTATCATTAACATATCACGTCAGTATTTATTTCTGCTTAGTAAGCTAAAGTACTTTCATGAAGAAAACACATGGTATGTAGGTTAAGCAGCAGCTTCAAATCTCTTGAATCTTGTGCATGCTCATTCTGTTAGATTTTGTCATCAGTGCTCAATAAATTAGCTATCGTATATATGATGAGTCAAAGAATTCAAGAACATCAGCTCTGATTGTATTGATGGAATCACTGTATGGCAGAGTTGAAACTGAACCACATTACTTTAAGGAGATCCATCTGTGAAAAATCTGTTGACCCCATCAGCTAGGGACACAGACTTCTATGAGCTCTCGTAGTTGCCAAGCTTTGGAACACAAGTAATAAATATTCCCAATAAAAACTGTAATTTCAAAAAGAAGCCAATATTCTGACACTAGAATTATTTAGGACAAATGATGAATATAGGGACATACTGCTGTAATGATATTTTGGGGAAAGTTTGTCCCTGTTTTTCATGTAATTCATTAACCTTGTTTAAATAAAATTCTGGTATTTAGATCACATTTATGGTAACAAAATTTTAAGAGCTTTGAGAGAAAGCAGCTGCAGTATACATTTCAGATTCTTTCCCCTACCATACACAATCAGCTTCTTGATTTTCAGATAGTATCTTATAGCCTCATTTTTTTCCCTTGAGCTCCAAGACCTAACACTAAGGGGCACCAGAGAACTGAACTGCATCTGTTCAGATCCACCAGGAACCAGCTGCTGCAGCTAACATTGTAAGTTATTCACCGTGCTAGGTGGAGAGGGAATGGTGTTTTGGGGGAAACATAACAGGCGAAACAATAGTTCTGCATGACAGATTCTCTGTTACAGAAAACTGTCAATGGAAAAGCAAGGACGTGCTCATTTCGGGAATGCTGAATGTCTTATTATAGTTTATCACTAGGTGTTGCAAAAGAACTCTCCTCCAGACAAAAGTTAGGAAATGTGTGAAAATAATGCATGATGTGAAAATGGATTTTTTTGAGAAGCCAACTATACCGAAAAAATACAAGCAGATTGACTTAAGAGTACATTTGCTTTGATCCTAGACAAGTGTAAACAGAGGAGCACAGACTCAGGAATTCAATCTTCCATTAAGTTTCAGAAAATCTGGAGATAAAGACTATGACTAAGGAGATAAAGAACAATTCTAATTTCCAGTGAAATGCAAAATTGCCTCTCATTTCCCCAACAGAACAAAAGGAAAGCAGTATTTTAAGAAAATATGTAAGTTAAGCATGTTTGCAGGTGTGGACTTCAAAAGCAACCTCCTTCACCCAGAGTTTGGCTATCAAATAGAGAATAACTGAGTAGCCAGTGCTAGAGTCTTAAAATGTTAGACCTGATGTCAAGAACCTGATTATCCCAGTTGGGTTTTCTTTCATCTTGTTTCAGTCCCTCTATTGCACCACAAAATATATAACCAAACAAGCAAAGTATAATTAAATGATACTGTATGTCAGAAAAGTAAAGTTCTTCTGATTCCCTTTTAAAAGCTTGGTCATGGTCTTGTCCCAGAACAGAAAGTATTACAAAAATGCAGATAGACTACAGGGCCTGGTGTGTCAAATCATTGTAATCAAAGCTCCAAAACCAAAATTAATAAAGTACCATTAGCAGATGGTGTGAGCTGATTGACTGAGAATTGCAAACATGCATTCTGAAATGAGTACTGTATTAGCACTTATTTTTGTGTCTTTAAATAGTCTATAAAAAAGAAATCCACAGATAACTTCCGTTCAGTGTAGAATTTGACTCACAGATCTTTTAAGGACAGATGAGACCATTATGGTAATGAGCTCTGACCCCCAGCATAACACAGGGCATAGAACCTCTCTCAGCAATTTCTCGAGTCTGCGTCTTCTGTTTGAGGTATACCATCTCCTTTTGAAAGACATCCAGCCTTGATTTGGAAATTCCAACACTTTACTTGGTAAGCTCACACCTCAGTTAACAACAGCTGCAGTCAAAAAATATACAAGTTTTGTCCTCCTCTAATAAAATTTAGTCTCAGATTTCTTCCCACTACACGTTTTGAAGCCAAGTCAGAGAGCTGTCAGTGATGGTTTTTAAGAAATAAAACTTTCTATAAACAAATAATGGAGAAAAGCCACCATTTGGGCTACATTGTGGACCTTGTTCAATGGCCATTAGCAGTTCTAATTGGTCCCTTACCTCAGGGTGTACAGAGCTTCTGGACCCCAGTCCAGTGGAGAAATTCAAATACATGTCTTGGTGATGCTATGGCCAGATAGCATACCTTATGTCCTGAGAGGAAGACCTTGTAACTCCAGGTCTTCATCTGATAATGTTCAACTTCTAGCTGACACCTCTTGTCTCACATGGGATCCAAGTTTTTCTGTTGTTGTTACATTAAGGTGTGTCACCAAGCAAGATGCAGGCAACTTAGTAGTGACAAAACAGTATGCTTATTTAAGCAAGGGACCCTGCTGGTTGGTACCAAAAAGAGATGGATCTCTGTTGTGGATCTGAATGGAGCTCATCTGTGATTCATCACTCTAGCGGGAAAGTTAAGCCTGCTCTGTCTGCCTCTGTCTTCAGGCAGTGAGATTTGAAGAGTGTAACACAAAAGTCTGTCAGTATTTACCCAGCTTGTGCTGGACCAGGGCTTTGCAAAACTTCTCTTGGGGGAACAGTTTGTGGCTTATGGGCATTATGCTTCCCAGCTAGCTGGCTAAAAGACGGGCAACTGTGTTCAAGCATTTTAATGTGGGGCCAAAACCTGCCAGGATCCAGTGCCTGGAGTTTCATATACCATTTGTGATTTACTCTGGCAAGGACAAGACACGGGCGACAGAACGCTCCAGCCACCATCCTGTGTTGGCATGGGCCAGAAAGCGAAGGAGACCTTTAAGGAGAGAAGGCTAGAGGGTGGTACCTACCAGTCCCTTCCGTGCGACAAGTAGAAAGAGTTGCACTGAGGAAGCCCTTTGGAGGGCCCATGTGGTCCCCAGTGCCTCTCCCACCTCCTCCTCCTCCTCCTCAGGCGGGAGGAGGCAGAGTTGCTGCTGCTGCCAATGCGCCAGGATAGAGAGATCTCGGCGCGGGAGGAGATGACGCAAAAGGCAGAGCTCCCCCCAAAAAAGTGTTTCTCCAGGACGAAGATGGCGGCAACTTAGCCCAGGGGCCCAAGATGCCTGTGCCCGTCGGGGGCCCCCAGCCAGGCAGTTCCGCCCCGTGCGCCCGGGGACACCGCGCCCGGCGGCAACAGCGGCGGCAGCCGCAGACCATTGTCACCAGCAGCGGCGGCGGCCCCGGCAGCCTCCTCCTCCTCTTCCTCTTCCTCCTCCTCCTCTTCAGCATCCTCGGCAGTGCTCTGGGAGCCCTGCAGCAGCGTCTCTCCAGTTAGAGCGGAGGGGGGAGAGGAGAAAGAGGAGACGGAGACAGCGGTGCAGGCATCTGTGCCGCGGCTCGGGGTTGAGGAAGAAGAGAGCCGCGGCGGCGGGGAGGAAGAAGAGGCGAGGAGTCCTCCCGGAGCGGTCCGTCGGCAGCAGGGGACGCGGCATGCAGCTGTCCGGGGGCAACGGGCTTTTCTCAGGAGGGAGATGGGGAGCTGCGGTCTGACCATGCCTGGGTGAGAGGGGGAAAGGACCAGCCGCGCAGCCCCGCCACCACCAACTACCACCACCATCTCCTCTCCCTCCTTCTCCTCCTCTCTGCGTTATTGCTCTTATCTTTTCCACGGCACTCCGCGTTGGATGGACTGGGGCTGCTTCGTGTGGTGAGACCAAGGCAGAGCCACCGGTGAAACCCAACAATATCTCAGAGGAAGAAAAAGAAGAAAGAAAGAAGAGGGAAAAAGAAGGGGGGGGGGGGGGGGGAGAGTGGAAGAGGGAGAGAGCGAGCGAAAGAGGGAGAGAAGGGAAGGCAGGCAAGAAAATACCCCAGTCTTTTAAGTCAATGCATATTGTGGTGACACTGGCAAAGGAGCCCTCACGGTGGAGTCGGCCAGGGCTGTGCGTTCCCAAAATATGACCAGGGGTGCTTGGATGTGCAGTCGGCAGTATGATGACGGCTTAAAAATCTGGTTCGCACCCCGGGAGAACGAGAAACCCTTCACGGATTCAGAGAGGGCTCAGAAATGGCGACTGTCCCTGGCATCGCTCTTGTTTTTCACAGTCCTGCTCTCTGATCACTTGTGGTTCTGCGCCGAGGCCAAATTCACGGGGACCGGAGAGAAGGAGCAACCGCCGCCCGAGAAGCCGGAGCCCGCGGAGCAGGAGCTGCTGGCGGGCATGGGGGAGCCGGCGCCCCCCGCGCCCCGGCTGCTCGCCCCCCCCTCGCCCTCCCTCCCGCCCTCCCCCGGCAGCAGCGGCGGCGGCAGCAGCGGCGGCAGCGGCACCAACGGCACCGAGCACGGGCACGGCGAGGCTGCTTTCCTGGGGAACTCCACCGCCAGGCCCCTGGAGACGTGCCCCCTCCTGGGCTCCTGGTCCCGGCAGTGCTTCAGCGTGGGGGACGCGGAGGAGCTGTGCCGGCAGCCGGGGGGGCCCGGGCGGCCGCGGAGCGCGGGGCAGAGCCCGGCGCCCGGCTGGGACCTGACGGATTTTTACCTTTCCTTTTGTAATTCTTACACGCTTTGGGAGTTGTTCGCCGGGTTGTCCAATCCGGACACTTTGAACTGCAGTCTGGATGTGGTGCTGAGGGGGGGAGGCTCCTGCAGCCAGTGCGTCCAGGCTTACCAGCGCTACGACCAGCACGCTCAGGAGAAATACGAAGAGTTTGAGGTTATGCTCCAGAAATATTTACAGTCGGATGAGTACTCGGTGAAATCGTGTCCTGAGGATTGTAAGGTAGGAGCCCCTGATGTGTTTCCTGTCCCTCGCTGGCGGGCTGGCGTGCCTCCCTCGTCTGTTGTGGCTGCCGTGCTGCTTGTTTTAGCTGCGGTCTTTGACCCTGGCGCCGCCGGCCGTCGTTTTTAGGGTGCAGTCAGAGCTGCTGAGGGTGTCGATGGGGAGCCCCCGCTAGCGCATTGCTAAAAGGGAGGCAGAGAGAGGGGGAAGCTTGGAGAAAAAAAAAAAAAAAAAGTGATACTCCGTCCTCTGGGAGTGCAGCAGTGGATTTCCCCCTCCTCATGAATATGCTATTGGCTCCGGCTTGGCTGCCGGCTTCCAGCGGGTTGGGGTGCGGCTTGGCGGCAGGCAGCGACTGGGTCTGCATGCCAATGAGCGGGGCCAAGGACGGCGGCCGGTGTAGGGGCCGCCCGACGGCTCTGCCCTGCCCGCGGGACCTCCTGGACCAGAGACGCGGCGGGGTCGGGGATTGGCCGGGGCGGCGATGGGCGCGGTGCCCAGAGGACGGGTGCCTCGTCCCCCCGCGACGGCCGAGATCGCGCACCGGCTGCTCGGGAGGGTTCCGTTCCGGGTGGCCCCTGCGGCGGCGGTGAGTGGTGCTGCGGAGCAGGGAAGCTCCTGGCCACCTCGGAAGAGAGGAGCGGGACCGTTTTCCAGGCGCTCTGCCAGAATCTCTGGAGTTGGGAAAGGCTGGAGGACGAGAGTAGATGCCAGCGGGCACCGCGGTAGTCCTTGGTTGAGAGGTGATGGTGACAGTGTTTCACTGAGCCGCGGTCGTTCTCCTTGGTGCCACTCGTGACGTCTCGGAGAAAACTAGAGGTTTTTCTTTTCTTTTGTTAGAAGGAAGTGTCCCACTTTGGCTCTTTGTAGTTGTCTTCTCTCTACTTTTGCACAAGATTAGTTGGCCTAGCTCTCAAGACAGGAAAGGGCAGAAAAAAAGTGTTGTCACTGGTGCCATAAAATAAGTATCTGCATGCTTCCTCCCCCCGTATGTTTGAGTATTGGTTGAGAGGTGGGCCAGGAGCATGATTTCTGCTCTGAACTGTATTATAGCAACCACTGTAGCATTACGTTAACTGTATGTCAACCAAATCCTACTTTAGCAGTGGAACACGTAAGTGCATACAAATCACTGCTGTGAACAGAAGGCCTAGCAGTACCTCTGTGCTTTGTAACTTCATCTGGGCCTTCTGAAATCATTTCATGGTAATAGTACATGCCTAAAGAATACCATTCACCAATAAGTTGGTGTAATTTGCATACATCTTTGTCGGAAAAATTAACCCACAGTCCCTCCAGCAGCTGAAATACCATGTTATCCAATTCGATAAAGTAGGAAAGTTGCTGTATATATTTTTCCTTTTTAAACCAGACAGAAGTAAAGTAGTTTCATCAGTAATTTTGAATTCACGGTTTCTAAGTTATAAACTGTGTGTATACACGCTCACTTTATATATGTTATGTGCTTAGTTACTGATAAAATGTGTTTTATTTCCAGAGTGAATTGGATAAGTAAAAAGAGTATCGACTGTAAATAGATGTCTGCTGCTGTAAGGACACCGTTTCCATTTCAGTGTCTCTTTAGTTAGAAGTTGACCGACTACTCTGTCCTGCCAAATGGGCAACGTCTACATGCTTTAAGTGAATTTTTTTGTATCACAGTTTAGTCTGAGTGAACTTCACCACAAAGTGTGCAGTTGCTCTGCAGTATAATGTGGTGTAAAAAGTGTTGAAAATGAAAAGAACAGCAAGTGTACACTGTGTAACAATTTCCCCTTCGGAGACTGAATAAGGAAAAATACTTGTCTAATGATGGGGAAAAAGCTGTTGACATTAAAACACTGTGTGAAGCATATCAATCAACCATACAAATGCAGTGCCAGTGACCTGCAGTTCTTCCGTTCCGGGTGCCAGACGGTATTGCTCTACGTTTTGAGAATTCGGCCAACCAGTCTGTGTTAAAAATGAAAGGCTATTCCATCAGGGTAAGGAAAAAACCTCCAAACAAGCCCAACCCGAGAGTGCGTGCAGTTCGGTGTTCCCTCCCTTGGCCCGGGGCAAGGCGTTGTGAGCGCTGTCCAATGTGCTGAACGGCGGCAATCGCAGCCCGTGGGTACACTGGGGAGTGCCCGTGTTCTCTTCTGTCTCCTTCCCACCTTCGTGCTACTCGGTCCCCCTAGAGCGTTCTGATTCGTTCTGGTGGCTGAGCAAGCCAAGCGTTAAGCAGGTCCCGCGGTCTGATAGCCGTGTGTGTTGGTGTGCTTGCATCTGGTCTGGCCTGAAGTGTGTATGGGTGAAACTAGAAACTTACCATGAACACTTTGTGACTGTTGCAACGTTCTGCTGGTCTTTCTGGTGTTTTATGCATAATCCATTTATAAAACTCAATCAGGAAAATAACTTATGTAAGTGGATACTTTTTCTTTTGACCTTTGGACATTAGACTTTTCTTAGCTTAAGAATCAGAATAGAAAATAACTTGACATCTGATTATGCATGTTAAGTACACACCATTTGGTTGGTTTACAAGGTGAGCTGCTTTTTTTTTTAAACAAAATGCTAAAAATACTGATGTTAGTTAATAGACATGAGTGTAAGCACTGAGTTAATACAATGAAAGTCTTGTTAAATCTATTTCTGTTAAAGATATCTTGAGTATAATAGGAAGGTGGCTGCATTTACAGAAAGAGTGAGCTTTTCATGCAGTTGACCAATTATTGGTGATGAGAAAGTCAGTAAAATTTACACCAATAACAATCAACCTAAAACTTGTAATTTGGTGTTACTTTCCCCTTCAATTCTCCCCACCACCATCTTCCACCCTCGACACATTTCTCACAGTGAAGAGTGAAGACCATGGGCATTTCACAGTCCAGCAAGTTACACCTTTCCAGAAAGTAGCATTGGTTATAACAAATAGTACATATCAAATTACTTTGATGTATGAGGTTAAACCTCAGACTTCATAATTTCATTCCTTTATCTAACACCATAAGAAAGTGAACTTTACTTTCAAATTATTCACAAATTATATTCACAATTATTTGCAAAACATAATGCTTCACTACATGTATTCTGATCTCTGAAGAATATTTTAAATAAATTGCTTTTCATTACAGAAATTTGCAGACAGGAGTTGTTTGAGTTATCAGTTCACATTTAGTTATTCTGCATGGTGGGATTTGGTTTCAGTTTGAATATGTAAGTAAACTCTTTATTTATTTCTTTTTTCTTTTTTAAAGAATGCCATCCTGGTGTTACTATTAAACTTACTGAGTTGCATTGGGATTTTTGAAAATTCTGTAGAAAATGCTAAGAATTTTGAGTTTCAGAACATTTGGAAAATCACTGGTTTTGATGGTTGCAATGAACGTGTGTATGCATTTTATATTGTTAGGATGACAGCAGACGTGTGTGTTGTTTAGAAGCTTGGAATATCAGTGTTTTCTCACTATAAATCCATCTTCAACTTATTTATTTAAAAATACCTTTCAAGTCTGATGTCCTTATATCTTGTTTTCTTGTCCTGATAGCCACATGTCAGTAATGGCTAAACAATAACTAAGGTTTTGAATTTGAACTTATTACATATTCAACCAGGTGACATGATAAAGTGTTGTAGCCTTAGTAAATCACTAAAGTAACAGAGTAACTGAAAATCTGGGTTTCTAGTTTTCTAGTTGAAATCAAATTCAGATTTTTTTTATATATTTATGAAATTTTGCTTTTGCATATTACACAGTTATGGTTATGTTTACAGAGATTGTTCTTGGCAATATCCATAATTTCTTGGTTTCCAGAATACCATTTTTATATGTGGTGTGACACAGTACTGTATTCAGATAATTAACAGAGAACTATATTGGCTTGATGTTGGAAGACACAGTTCCTCGTAATGACTTAGCTTTCTGTCAGGGGAAATACTCAAGTTCTTGTTCTTAAGACAGCAGGCAATCAATTGCTCTGTGGAATAAAAGAAAATTCTGGCTACCTCTGATTAAAACTGGGTCAAGTAACTAAGTAGGACATATAAATGTAAAGGGTTTTATTTTTTATGGTGGGGTTTTATTTATTTGTTTAAGAGATGGAACTTACGCCTTTTTGAAAAGTATCAGAGGCCAGAGCTTTCTTGGCAGATGTGTTTATTAATGCTTGACCATAACATCAGCTACTATTATTTGGGACTGGTTTCTTTAACCCAGTGAAAGTTGAAAGTGTTTAAAATGTGGCCTTCCTCAGTGGTGGTTAAAATATCGAAATGTGTAATTCAGGTAAGCCCATTATAGTTAAAATAACATTAAATTAATTCTGTTTTCCTCCTAGAATTTCAAAGGAGAAAAATAAAACCATACCAACTCTTTTTATGTCAACATCGCTGAAGAGTGAAATTTAGCTGACATCTTAGGTGCTCAACACATACACACAGACCTTTTTTCTCTTCTTATCAGAAATTAAATATCATTTAGTAAATTACGATTTGAGGTCTATGATATTGGTATAAGAAATATGTAAGAGGATAGCTGAGTTATACTACTATTTGGTTGGAAACATGCATATCAGTAAAGGGTTTCATCACCATAGATGATATAGTTGATAGAAATATAGTTCTTCTGTTACTAGTGATTTTTTGGGGAGGGGAGAATCAAAGGAGTGTGTCCAACTGCTTTTATTTGAGTAAGAGAATGATTGAAACTTATTTAAAACAATTAAAACCACATTTGTTCTCATTTATGTGAAAATATCAAACCTTATATGAATCATGACTTTTCCAAGAACTTTTTCCTAAACAGCATATGTAGTCTAATTGGGTTTTGATTTAAACTCTCAGTTAAGCTGGCAGAAAGGAGCAAATGAGAAATATGAAACCAAAATCTCAAGTGATAAAAGAACTCTTCTGCTACAAAAGGTCACATAGACCAGCATCTGCCACAAAGTTTGACTTTTCAATTGCATATCTTAATCACACAATATTTCTGTTATATGCAGAAGTGATAACCTAA